GGGGCAGGAGCCAGCCAAGGTGACCCCTGTAACTCTGGAGCTCACCAAAGATCAGAAAGGTCGGAGGCCTCGGCCAGCAGCTCCTCCAGGGAATCAAGCAGTTTGGTGTGGAAGACAATGAGGTTCATGATGCGACCCACGTCGGGGTTGGTGCTCAGTGGCAGCACAGCCTTGGCCACACTGGTGTAGGCCTAGGGGGGACAGCAGGCTCAGGGGCACAGCTGGGAGCACTGGGAGCACTGGGGATGGGAGGATGATAGGGATGGGGTCCAAAGGTGGTGGAATGGTGAGGGATGGGGAGAAGGGTGAAGAAGGGAATGAAGACAGGGATAGGGACAAGGCTGGGGACAGCAGTAGGGAAGGAAGTAGGGGCATGGATTGAGATGGGAAAACAGGAGAGGGATTGGCACAGGGATAGCAGTGAGGACAGGGATGGGAATTGAGAAGGGGACAGCACCTGCAGCCGGAACCAGTCCAGGCGGAGCGGTGTGAAATCAAACTGCTCCTTATCATCAACTGCAGGAAAACAGAAATGTGGCCATGAGGAGGGGCTGAGGAAGGCAGGCTGGGTGAGCTTCAGGTTGCTTGTGCTGACTGGGAGGTATAGATCCAGGGGGTGCCAGTCTGGATGCATCACACTGGTGGATGCCAACTGGGGGTGGCAGCGTTCACCCCACAGGACCCCCAGGAGTTGTTGTCTCCTCACTGTCCCCAGGAGACTGCAGCTGGGTGCCCAGCATAGCTCCAGGGCTGCTGCTGGGCTGCAGGGCAGGAGGACATCAGTCTCCAGAGACACACAGCAGGTTCAGGGTCCTTACCTCCCTTGTCAGAGAGAGAAGAAAGGGAACTGACAAAGGACGACAGGATGATGGACTCCTCCTCGGGGCACACAGAGAGGTTCTGCGGGGACAGAGACAGGGACAGGATTGGGGACAAGCAGGATAGGCAACAGAGGATAGGGAGAGTCCCAGGTGTGGCATTCTGTGGTACCTGGATGATTTCACTGAGCACCAGAGCATCGAAGCGGGCCAGGTACTGGACGTGGTAACGCCGCAGCACCCCGACCTGCCGCCGCACCAGGCTCCGCAGCTGCTCCATGAGGAAAAGGATCTCTGCAATATGGCTGCCACCAAAGATGCCCATCAGAACAGGGGCAAAAAGCCCAAAATTCACACACCGCTGCCTGCAGCTCCCCAGCACCACGCTTACTTGTCAGCAAAGTCCTCCGGTGTCTTGGTTTTGGTGACATGCTCAGCGTGCCTCACCAGCCAGCTCACCTCGTCCCGGCAGAACGAGAGTGCCATGAAGACAAAGAGAGCCTGGGCACAAGCAAGCCATGTTAGAGGGCACGTGGTGCTGCCACTGGGCTGGCACCAACAGCCCTGAGCACTACCAACACACAGCACTGCACATAGACTCAAAATGTAACCACAGAGCTCTCACACCCAACCCCGTGCCTCATCGTGTCCCTCTCAGCCACCCATCTCCATGACAATGTTCCCCTCTACCTGTCTCCCTACACTGTCCCCTTTCCTTTGTGCTCACCTTGGGTCCCAGCAGCCCAGGCTGATCCTCCAGCAGTGCCTCAAGCTCACGCACAGCCCCACGCAGGTACACCCGTCGGCCCCGGTGCAGGGATCCACTGTGGGAGGGTCATGGTGGGGCTCAGAGCCCCCACCACCACCCCTCCAGCCACCCCGCTCACCCAGCAGGGATACTGCAGGCACCACATAGCAAAGGTGGGAGCTGTGGTATGGGCTCAATACAGATTGGGATCCCAGTGATCCTCTGCAACGCTCAGCTCTCTGGGACATGTTGGGACCCTGAGGTCCTTCCAAACCTTTGGGATATCGTGGGGACCTCCTGGCACCCTGGGACCCTCCCCAGCCCCCTGAGCCCCCTAACCTGTGAGCCACGGCATGTTCCTTGCACTCCTTGAGATCAGCCACCCGCTTCCCATAGCTGCAAAAGGAACACAGCTGGGCAGTGCCACATACGAGACAGCCTCTGGCACCCAGCAGAGCCCCCAGTGGAGACCCCAGCCCCGGGGGCAGCCATTTACCCCTTGAGGCTGCTGAGCAGCTCCTCAGTGACTTTGTGGATCTGTAGGGCCTCGTCACGGAGGAGGGTGATGTAGAGCGAGCCCTGCAGTGCCAACCGCCACAGCTCCAGGCACTGTGGGGACGTCCCCAGAGCCCCCGGGCACACCAGGAACCCCACTGTTGGGCAGAGATGTCAGAGAACAGTCAGACACCACGGGAACATGGGGGATCTGTGGGCACTTTGAGGACTCACTCAGGATCCAGCGTTCCATCACCTCCAGGGAAAGGTACTCGCAGGCCATCTGGGGATGCAGGCGTTGGTGTCACCACTCTGCCCTCCCGCACCCTCCCCGAGGTGGCATCCCATGGCACCAAGGTCCCCACTGAGTGGTGGCACTCACGGTGTCGGAGCTGGCAGGGCTCAGCATGGTGCCAGCAGTGCTGAGCAGGCTGAGGAGTTGGTCACTGCGCCACTGCTCAGAGCCCTGGTTCCTCCGTGCAAAGAGGAAATGGAGGGACAGGAGTGCACTGGTGACAGCCTGGAGGACAGGGGGACATCATAGGATGTGTCAGGGCCAGATGCAGGGGATGGATGTGGCCCTGCTGGCTTGCAGAACCCTCAGGAGCTCCCAGCCCACCTTGGTGTGTGGTCCAAACTCCTCTGTCAGCTTCTTAAGGGGGTGGTCGTATTCCAACACCATCTGGCCCAGGCGGGCAAAGCTGGAATCACTGCAGAGATAATGACACACGTGTTGGGGACAATCCTCAGTGACAGCCCCAGGGGGGACAGTCCACAGGGACAGCCAGCTCACCTGGCACCATGGCTCATCTCATGAGCACAGTGGTACATGCCAATGAGCACCCGGCGGTCCTCAGTGCGAGCCAGCAGCAGGATGAGGGACACGTAGGTGACAATCAGGTCCAGGTAGCTCTTGGTGAAGTCATAGTTGACGTGCTAGGGACAAGGAGACTGTGAGGATATGGCCATAGCATGGGCTGCACCAACCACTCCCCCAAGTTTACCCCATAAACCCTGTGAGCACCTCAAACTCCCCTGGAGACCCCTCCTGGCACCCCCTGGGTATCACTCACAATGTCAAAGAAGCACTGGTTGGCATCAATGGTGTTCAGCAACTCATAGACGTGGTCCTGATAGGGAGACAACAAGGAGACAACAAGGAGACAACACGTCACTGCTGTCCCTCCCAGTCTGAAATGCCAGCAGTGCCCCCCAGCACCCCACAGCTCACCCTGAATTCCAGGACATCCACAAAGGAGTAGTAATAGGGTCCCAGCGCACGGACAATGTCCCCCTTATCCTTGTGCACCGGTCCCAGGTGTTGCTGCAAGGGATAGAAGGGGACATCCAGGTAGGGTGACACAGTGGGGACACAAAGGGTGGGGTGACATGGGATAGGGGGTGGTGGAGTGACACAGGGACAGGGATGGAGGAGAAGCCAAGCAGCTATGACACAAAATGGGGCGACTCAAAGCAGGGTGACATGGGGGCACGACAAGGAAGTGACACATGACAAAAGAACGATCAGGATGGATGTGACACAGTGTTGGGGCAGCAGCGTCCCTCACCGTGCTGCTCCTCACATCCAGGTTAGGAAACTTCTTGTTGATGAACTTGACAGAAGGCTCCATAGCTTTGTCACAGAGGAAAGATGGCCGTGTCTTGGGGTCAGAACAGGTCTGCAGGGACATCCTAAAGTTAGAGCCCCCACAACCCCACCACACCCCCCGCCACAGCCCAGCAGCCTCCATTTCTTCATGGCCCCACCCCACACCTTCTTGATGTTGTAGATGCGGACGAGGACACCCCGGCCTCTGTCATTGAGGATCGTCAGCTTCTCAGCAAACTTATTCTGGTAGACGGAGGGCAGCGACATGCTGGCAGCGTACCGGAGGGGGGGAGGGGGCCACCCCGTATCCCCTTGTCCCTGATCTGCCCCGCACCCCCAGCACCAACTTCCCCTTCCTCAACTTCCTGGGCTGTGGCCGTGGGCCACGTGACGCCGCCGCCGTGTGACGCCGCCACCGCCGTGGGATGCCACCAAAGCTGGTGACGTGCAGCACCGCCTGCAACCCTGTAACACTGGTCACAGGCAGAGCGAAGGCCATCGCTGTGTGACACTGATCACAGCCACACAGTGCTGGCCAGGGCCACGTGGCATCAGCCATGGTCTTTTAAAACCAGCCTCAGCCCTGTGTCATCATCCTGGACCATGTAACACTGCTCACAGCGATACAGTAGCACCCAGAGCCATTTGTAGGTTCACAGGACACAATCCAAAGCCATATGACACCATTCACAGCCCATATGACAGTGTTCAGGACTGTGTAACACCACACAGACTCATATACTAGCCCTCAAGGCCCTTATAACTCCTTGCAACGCTCACACAGCACCTTCCAGGACCCATACGGCCACCCTTAGGTTGCACACAGCACCCTGCAGGATACATACAGCATCCAGGACCCACACAGGGCCCTATAACACTGCCCAGGACTATACACCAACACACGTGATGCAAAAAAACACCACACAGGGTCCTATAAGACCCCTCAGCTCCCACATAACACCATCTGAGGCCCCATACCACCCTCTGGGGCCCATAACACCCTCTGGGGCCCCATAACACCCTCTGGGGCCCCATAACACCACACAATGTCCCATAACACAACCTATAGCCTATAAAACCCCACCCAGGGCTACGTAACGCCCTTCAGGCCCACGTTACACCCTGCAGATTCACAGAACGCCTCCAGCACTACTCAGAGCTCGATAATCCCACCAGAGCCATAAAACAACGCTCAGGCGCTTCCACCCCGGCGCCGCGGCGGAAGTTAGGCCGCATTGCCATGGCGACCCTGAGGGCGGAAGTGGAGCCGCGCAGGCTGCGGCGGAAGTTAGGCCGCGTTGCCACGGCGACCCCGAGGGCGGAAGTGGAGCCGCGCAGGCTGCGGCGGAAGTTAGGCCGCGTTGCCATGGCGATGAGCGGGGCCGTTCGGGGGTGGGAGCGCGGGGCTCGGTGGCCGGTAGCAGGCCGCTGGAGCCCGACGCGGAGCTCAAGATGGACCCCGAGGCGCTCGTCCAGTGTCCCTACGACAAGGCGCACCAGATCCGGGTGTCCCGGCTGCCTTACCACCTCGTCAAGTGCCAGCGGGTGAGCGGGGCGCCGCGGGGCCGTGAGGCGCGATGCAGGCCTGGCCTCCCTTCACGCGCTCAGCGCCTTCTCCTCCTTCGCTTCCCCTAGAACAACCCGCAGGTGGCTCGCTCGATGGAGATCTGTCCTTTCAACGCCAGGCACAGGATCCCACGAGCCGAGCTGCAGAGACACATTGCCTGCTGCCCCGACCAGCGCCTGCTCTTCGACTCTCAGGGTACACGGCCGGCCACTCCCCAGCTGCAGCACGGAACCCCTCACTCAGACACACGTCCCTACTGTGCTCTCTGTGTTCACAGGGTCGTCCATGTGCACCGGTGACCAGGCAAAGCAACCCAAGGTCCCCGTGGCCTGGCAGGCCCCCCCGTGCCAAGAGGACTGGGAGGCAGGTGAGTGTCCTCAGGGTGTCAAGTGGTGCCTCCCCCGTGCCCACCCAAGGCTGGCACAGCCCTGTCTCATTATCCTTTGCAGAGGTCAGTGAGCTGGAGGAAGCTGCACCGTTTATCCTCGACACCACTATCAGTGAGCTGCCCCTCCAAGGAGACAGGTAGGAGTGTGTGGGGCAGAGAGTGCTCTCTACAAGGTGCTGCCCACCCTGACCCCTTTGTCTTGCTCTCCCTCCCCCCCAGCACTGCTCTGACTGCACCCCCAAACTGGAGCGAAGGTGTGGGTCCTGCTGCAGCAACGGTGACAACAGGACACCTCGTGAAGGGGCCGGGCCAGCAGGAGCAGAACAGACCAAGGAGGGTGGTGGCACAGCCGAGGTGGTGCCCACCTCCCCACTAGGACCAGGGGAACCACGGTGCAAGCAAGGGCAGCACCTGCTTGGTATCTGCTGCAGGGAATGGTTGTAGCAATAGGTTTTAAAAACGTTTTGCAAATATGTGGCTTGTGAGTGTGCATGGTGTCCTGTCGCTTTTGGTGGAGGGGAACTGCTTGGCATTGCTGATAGGGGACAGCAGCAAAATGGGGACCATAGTGGGTTGGGTAAGGGGGTTCCAGTAGGATGAGAGTTGAAGGATGGGGACAAAGAGGATCCTCTGGTGTGAGCATGTCATGGGTCCACCATGTTGCTTGTCCCCTGCACTGCTTGCCTGTGCCCTCAGCATGTTCCGTGCAGCCTCCTGCTTGTGGGGGGAGCAGCAGTTGCATTCTGGGGCCTGTCCATGTCTCCATACCCCCCACAGCACATCCCCATGGCCGGCCTGCGTTCCAGCACTGCCCCCCATAGCATCCCTGTGTCCCCAGGTGCCTCCATAACACCCCTGCTCTGCCTGTACCCAGTCCCTCAGCAGTGTGTCCCCAGGTCACTGGTGCCCCGTTACCCCCCTCAGCCCATCCCCTTATCTCAGATGGGGACAGCACAGAAGAGGACGTCCAGAACCATCCAGCATGGCCAAAATTGCACCAGGTAACCCCAACCTCCCCTCCAGCTCCCACTCACACCCCTTCCCCTGACATGTAGGGTCTGCTGCCCACCCCCCCTTGGTGTACCAGATCACCTTTTCAGCCCCCCCCCCTCACCAGAACAAATGAAACATTTGCAGCCTGGTACCCAGTGGGTGCTGCCCAGATTTTGGGCTCAGGGTTCTATTTTAGTGCCTCTTACACAATTTGGACACTGCGTGCTCAGGCTGCATCACCAGGGCAGTCAGGCCATGGGTTTCCCCACCCGGCAACAGAGGGGGGGGGGGGAATGAAGGAAGCCTCTTTAGCCCCCACCCTGCACGATCCTCCAAAAGATGTGTCACCACATCCCGTGTGACACCAGCCAGCCCATGCACAGCTCTGGGTGTCCCCCCCTCAATCCTCCACCCCGCTCCCTAATTTCTCCCCCCCTCTTTTCTTTTTTCACACAGGATGTTTCTGGCTGGGGGGAACCCACAGATCCCCAGCCCTGCCAGAAGGTGAGGAGAATTCGGAGGAGGCTCCGGATTTGGGGCGGGACGGATGGAAATGGGAATTTGTGTGTCACACTGCCTCCCCTGGCCGGGCTCCCACCCACCCCCAGCACACATTAACCCACGCCAGCCAGGACAATCGCACCAAAGTCAGTCGTGGGGACCCCGCGGGGCTCAATTTGGGTAGAAATCCTGCTTTTTGCAGCAGTTCACAGAGAGGTCAGCTATTTATCCTTCCCCGTTTGGCGGGGGGGAGCACGCAGGCGGGGTCGCGTCCGTCCCTCCTGGCTGGGCAGAGGAGGAGTGATCTGGTGTTGCAATTAATTCCTCCCTCGCCAGTGCCAGAATTGCAGCTGCAGAGAGGTTTTTATACAGCTAATAACTCCTTTTAATGTACATCTGGCAGAATCTGCACATCCTGGGCTCAGCCCATCTGGGAGACTCTTTTCCTCTCTCAATCTCCTATCCAGAGTCTGAATCCTCATCACTGAGCAGGAGGAGCTCCTTCCTCCCGTCTCCTTACTAGGATTTAACCTACCTTTGCCTGAGCTCCCATTTTTTTTCCGCATCAAAACCCATTTTTTTGAGTTTATGGGGGGGGTTAACCCTCTGATTCTCCTCCCCACGGGGAGAATCAGGCCTCCCTCCTGAGTTTATCTCCTCTTTTCCTCCGTAGCATTCCCCAATCCCCACTGCCTGTGCTGCCATCCCACGCCGCAGAGCGGAGCCTCTTCCCCTGCTCCCACCTCACAGTGCTGCCCCACAGGTGGAAATCCGGCCCAATCCCTCCTTGCTCCTCAAGGGTTAAAGAGGAATTTCTCCGGCTTTGTGCCTCGCTTGTTTAAAAGCATCTGACTGCTTCGGATTTGCTTGACATCTCTCCCCTGTGGTTTTGCAGAGCAGTTTCATGTGTGCTTTGAACCGTGCCAATAACGGCGTTGCAACACTTGCCGAGAGTTTTGCTCAGAGGGTGGATCCAGCCGGGTAGGTTGAAGGAATGGGTTATTTTTGTCAGGGAAATGAATGGTAAATGACAGGCGTTCCCCCCCACCCCCCCTTTTTCCACCTATTTTGCCCCGTTGAAAGCAGTTGTGGATCCTCACTGTGCTCTCAGAGGAGCGATGCTGGGGGAACTGCAGCGTGGCTCCCAAAAATCTCCATGAGGCGCCCTGGGGTGGTGCTCTGAATCCCATGTGTGGGGTGCTTGCTTGTCAGCCACCCCTCAGCAGACCCCAGAACTGCAGCCAGGCCTGTTCCCCACACCTTGGTGTCACACCTTGGTGAAGCTGTGGGGCTGGGGGAGGCAGCAGCAGCATGCAGTGACTTTGCTTTCTGCTTTGACACCCCGCAGCAAAGCAGCAGTTGCCCCATCCAGCATTGGATCAATGCTGGTTTCCTCTTGCACGTGCAAGGAGGGTTCCCTTTGCACCTCTCAGCAAAGCCTCTGCTCCTCAGCCACCACTTCTGCTGCTTCTGGCAGAGCCGTCGGAGCGTCGGATTTTCCTTTTGCCTGGGCCACAGCCAAGGAGGGCATGAGGAGGTAGGGAGGAACGGGCTGGGTTTTGGACAATGAGCATCACTGCCTGCTTCCAGCACGCAAGCAGAGGCTCTGCAGCTCCCATCTGGGTCGCTCCAGGGTGTGAAAAGTCGTTTGCAGGGTGCTGCTAGCTGACAGCTGTGAGCTGAGGGCAGGAGGAGCTGCTGGGATGGCTCCCGTGTGCATGCGAGGGGGGGTTTTCCTGCACTGAGGCCGGATGTTTTTCCCAGTGCATGGAGAAATTAGGGGCTGGGCTGCCACACCAGGCTTGGAAACACAGATCTCTGCCACCCTCATCATCCTCTGTGCTTTGTGAGCACCTGTGTAGAGCAGACAGAGCCCGCTGTGCTTTGTGGTGGCTCTTCTACACTCTTTTGGGGTGATTTCCTGCCTGTTTGGTGTTGCCTTGCTATCCCCAACCCCAATAACTCTAACCCTAACCCCAAGTACTTCAACCATTTCTCCCTGTTCTCTTCCATGGGGTGATGAAACACCATGTGGTGCCACAAGCACCTGGACCAGCAGAGCCACCCAACCTGCACCAAGGGGACTTCAGCTGAGCCCCCCACCCAAAATTGCCAGCAACCCCTGGGAGATGTGAGCAGTGAGTACCTGGCCACCCTGGCAGTGCAGCGTGAGCTCGTCTGCACGACACCCATTAAAAATTCCCCTTGCCTTAACTCACACCATCTCCCTGCTGTGATTCACGGTGAAGGCGGATGGGGGGGAAAAAATAAACCAAAAATTTCCCATCAAACTGCTCCTGAAAAAGGCAGGAAGAGGAGGAGGGCAGCAGCTAGCCAACGTCTGGCAGTTGTAGGCAAATGGCAGCGAAGAGGCCCTGGCCATAAAGCAGCTCTGTCTGCCCTCACCGAAGGGCAGGGAGTGCTTTGAAGTCGCTGGGTGTGAGATGCGTCCCGCAGGTTCTGTGTCTGCAGAGTGTCTGCTCAGCACCCAGGGAGGTGTGAGGCTCAGCCCCAGGGGGATTCCCTGAAGGAATCGCTCCCTCTGCAGCTTCTGGGGGAGTTTTGGCACTTTGGCTTTCAGTTCAGATGGGATGTGAGGAGATCCCAGCACCAGGCTGGCTCAGCAGCTCTACCTATCCCCCCCCTCCTGCTGCCAAAATCAGGGCTGAGCGTTGCCACAGCGGCCACAAAGCGGGGAGCAGCTTCCTTCCTTCTGCAGGGCATGCCCTGCTGTGCTTGCAGCCTCACACGAGGGGAAATTCGGGCACAAAGCAGAGCTCAGGGAGAGGACTTTCCCTGCCCCAAAGCTCACAGCTCTGTGGGCACGGCTCTGTGTGGCGAGCAGGGCTCATTAAAACAGGAAATTGGGTGGAAAAACAACAAATGGCCCAAAGCAGCAGGGCTGGGGTGAGGAGGGCAGTGCAGTGTCTGTGTCACCTTACGGTGCTGAAGCTGAAGCTCGTGCCCTTACAATGCCCCACACTCAGGGTTGGTTTTATCACAAGCACTGCGTCGGTCTGGGGGGGGCTGTGGGGTTTTGCACAACGTCAGCTGGCTGCAGTGGGGCTGAGCTGGGAGGGCTGGCAATGGGGAGGGCTGGCACGTCCCCAAGGGGCCCAAAATGGGGTTGGGAGGGGGGCAGGAGGGCACAGCTGGCAGCGTGCAGGTGTGTGTGTGTGCAGATGCAGGGTTGATGTTTGCACACTGCGTGTGTGTTCCTGTCCCAGTGGGGCCTCCTGTTACACGTGTGTGTGTCAGTCCCTGCGGTGCCACCTCTGCCCTGTGGCTGTGGCAGGTGTCTCTGATCATTGCCATGCCCACATCCCTGTGTTTTCCTGATCACAGTTCAGTGCCATGGCCTTGCCCACATCCCTCCCTGTGTCCCTGCTTGTGCCCTGCCTGTGCCACGTCCTTGCCCATGCTTTAGCCCACAGCCCTGCACGTTCCCATGCCCATTTCCCTGAGCATTTCCACGTTCCCACCTGTATTTCTACCCACATCCCTGCCCGTGTCCCCACACATTCCCATGTCCCTGCCTGCCCCCCCGCTGCCCCCCTTCCTGGCTGTGTGTGCTCTCCCCAACGCCTGCAGTTCCAGTGCCTTTTTGGGAAGCATTCGGCGCGTGGGGCTGCACTGCACAGCACTGGGCCCCGTGCCAGCCTTGGGATGGCTCCATTCCCTGCACCCCCTGCACGGTGACACCGAACCCCCGGCACACGCGTGTGCACCCCGGATCACCGAGCTTAACCCCCCCCACCCCCCCGCCTCCTTCCTTTCCCCACCTTTGGGTGCCCCCGTGTCTCCCTGGGGATTTTCCCCCCTCGGCCACCCACATGCTTTTCCCATCCCAGCCCCCCCAAACGCTGCTGTGCCCCAGCAGAGGGAGGGGGCAGGGGGTGACGTGGCCCCGCTGCAGGCCCAGGCTATATAGGGGCTGGCGGCGGCGGTGAGTCAGGCTTGGGGCCCCCCGCAGCCCCCCCTCCCCCCCCTCCAGGCCCTGCAGTGACTCAGGGACGCCCTGGCCATACTTAGCCGGGGGCACCCGCACCCTGACCCCGGCATCGGCATCCCTGGGTGGGGCTGGGGGTGTCCCAAGCACAGATGGGGGGGCCCACAGGGTGTCCTTTGGGGGGGGTGGGGTATAGGGGTGGTATCTATGGGGTGTCTACGGGATGGGGGGCTATGAGGCAGGAGGGCTATGGAGGCAGGAGGGCTATGAGGGGTCCTGGAATGGGGTAGGGGAAGATGGGAGGCCATTGGGTGCCCCCCCAGAGGAGGGTTGTAGGGCTGTTCTGAGAATGGGGGGTGGGTGGAGGGATGGGGGTCCACAAGGATGGCACCCATGGGGTGTCTGCGGGATGGGGGGAAATGGGGAGCACCCAGGGAATGGGAACTGTGGGGAATGGCAGCCGTGGGGTGAACCCGAGGTGGGGCTGTGGGGGTGTCCTGGGAATGGGGAGCAGAAATGGGGCTGGGGGTGCAGGGAGCCACACTCTGGGGAAAAGGAGGGGGAAGGGGGGAACCAGGCCTTAGGATCTCCATGGGAAACAGAACAGAGGGGAAACTGAGGCACGAGCAAACAGCATGCAATGCACGGTGCTGACACGGGGTGAGCACAGCAGACGGTGCCCGGGCACACGCGTGTGCACCAGGGGCAGAGGCCAACATGGGGCCTGGCGTGCGAGGGCAGGAAGGGCTCCGGCGCCAGCACATTGTTCAGCACCCGCCGTCACTTCCCCGTCCCCAACCACGGAAATGTCCCCATTGTCCCCACAGGCACCGTGGGGGCACAAACACCCCCCCCCCCCCCCCCCCCCCCCCCCACAAACCCCCCCCCCCCCCCCCCCCCCCCCACACACACACACACACAAACACACACCCCCTCGTGTGCAAACCCCCGCGCTCAGCACCCAAAGGTGAAAAGCAGCGGTGCGAGCAGCACCCCATGCTGCACAGGGCGGGGGGCTCCCATCCCATCCACACCACAGGGGACAAAGGGACACCCCCATGTCCCCCCCTCTCCCCCCCTGACCCCAAATCCCCCGGACCCCCTGCCCAGCTGTGCCGGCCGCCATTGCATCAGCAGTGCAGGAATGCGGTGGCCCCGCAGCAGCCGTGCGAGGCCCCGCCCCCCCCCTCCCCCCCCCCTTTGCACGGCCCCCCTCCCACCGCGGCCCCTCGCACGCCCAGGCACCCCCCTCGCACGGGGCCCTGCGGGGGGGGGCACCTCTTGCACGAGTAGAGAGGGAGAAACGTGCAAACGTTGCACGCTCAGGCAGCCGACGCTCAGCGCTCTTTGCGCGGTGGGGAAACGTGCGGATTTGCACACACACGTGGAAGGAGGAGGCGGGTGTGCATTTTGCACGCTCGTATATTTGGGAGTGTATTTGCACGCTCACACACTGGGAGGTGCATTTGCACACTCGCCAAGCGCGGGTCCCCAGCTGTGCGCCCTTGGCACAAAGGGATAACGGCACCCATGGCTGCTCGCCTTGCACACCGTTGCACAACCACCCTGCGTTTGGGCACTGTCCTCTTTTGGGGAGGGGTCTGGGGGGGGTTCCCAGCCCCCCTCCCCCCCAGCACAGTCGTATGGGAACGGCTCCAGCTCCATTTCCACCATTTCCTTCCTGGAATCGGCTCCGGCCCCCCTGGTGTCTCCTCACTGTCCCACTCACGTCTGCTTCCTGTCCTGTGCCCCCACCCCCCACTTCTGCCCCACGTGGACCCCCCCTCATTGTCCCCCGGCCACAGTGTCCCTTTTGTCCCCTCCCTGTCACAGTACCCCCGTGTCCCATGCCACCACATCCCCACACTGTACCCACATTCCATTCCCTGGGCTCTCACCCTCCTGCCCCCCACCAGTGTCCCATATCCCCATATCCTATATCCCCATGTCCCCATATCCCCATGTCCCCGTCCCCAATGTCCCCATATCCCCATATTCCCATGTCCCCAATGTCCCCATGTCTCCAATGTTCCCATATCGCCCTGTCCCCCATGTCCCCATATCCCCCTATCCCCATATCCCTTTGTCCCCAATGTCCCCATGTCCCCAATGTCTCCATATCCCTATGTCCCCGTATCCCCATGTTTCCAATGTCCCCAAATGTCCCCATGTCCCCATATCTCCATGTCTCCAATGTCCCCCATATCCCCATGTCTCCAATGTCCCCATGTCCCCATATCCCCATGTCCCATATCTCCATATCCCTATAACCCCATATCCCTATATCCCCATGTCCCATATCCCTCTATCCCCATATCCCCATGTCCCCGATGTCCCCATGTCCCCATATCCCCATATCCCTATAACCCCATGCCCCCAGTGTCCCCACATCCCATATTCCCATCCATTTCCTGTGTCCCCACCCCTTTGCTCCCCACTTCCCGCCGTCCCACTGGGATAACCCCATTCTCAGTGCCCAACATCCCCGTCCCCACACTGAAGTGTCCCCATCCCCCTGTCCCCATCCCACCCCCTGTCCCCTGGCTGGTCCCATTGCCGACGTCCCCATTCCCGACGTCCCCATTCCCTTTACTTTCCCCATCCCTCCGGCTGTCCCAGTTCCGCATCCCTTCTCCCGGTCTCCGTTCCCCCCCCGGGGGAATCCCGCTGCTCCGTCTCCTCGTGGCGTCCCGTCATCCCGGTGTCCCCCCCGGGAAATTCCTGCCCCCCTTCCCCCCCCCAGGTCCATCCCGGTTCCCGCTGTCCCCAATCCCGGTGTCCCTCTGTCCCCGTCCCCCCCTCGCAACCGCTCCGGTGCCGGTCCCGGTGCTTTGGGGCCGTGGCTCCTCCCCGGTGAGTCACGACGGGGCGGGGCGGGGGCGGCCCGGACCCCCCCGGGCACTTTCCGAGGGGACTCCGAAGCGGGCGGCAGCGCTGAACCGGGCAGCCCCGCTCCGCCATGACCCCCCCGGCCCCGCCGCGATGGCCCCGGAGCCGTCGGTTCCGTTACCGGGCGCTGCTCCCGGTGCTGCTGTCGCTGCTGCTGCCGTCCGCCGTCGCTTTCAACCTGGAGACGTCGCGGCCCTTCGCCTTCCGGGGGTCCCCCGGGTCCCTCTTTGGTTTCGCGTTGGATTTTTACCTGCCCCGACCCCACAGGTACCGGGAATGGGGCGGAACCGGTACCGCCCGACGGGGCGGACGGAGGGAACGGGGCGGAGGGAAACGGGACGGGGAGACGGGAACGGGGAACGGGGGCGGGAGGGAGCGGCCCCAAAGGGATGGGGAGCGGCCCCGGGGCGGGGAATGGGAACGGGGAACGGGGATGGGGAACCGGGAGCGGGGCGGGGAACGGGACGGGGAACGGGGAACGGGAAGCGGATCCGGGAGACGGGACGGGAAAAAGGGAATGGGGACGGGATGGGGAAGCGGGAATGAGTAACGGGATCGGGATGGGGAGCGGGAGCCGGGAAACGGAAACAACCCGGGGAGGAAAGGAGGGCGGGGGGGGCTGAGCTCCGTCCCGGACCCCCGGCGGCCCCACCGAGGCGAACCCCCACCCCCCGCCGGGGGTCCCGGAGCGCTTCCTGTAACCGGAGCCTGGAACGGCCTCGGGGAGGGGGGGGGGAGGCGGTGAAGGAGCTCGGCCGGACCCCCCCGCCCCCGACCCAGAATGGCGGTGATGGGGCCCTCAGGGTGCCACACATCCCACACCCCCCCCCGGGTGTTTTTGGGGACCCCACTCCTCCATTCCACCGCAGTGCTGAGGGTCCCCATTTCCCGTCTTTGTGGGTCCCG